TCATTCACAGCTTTCTTGCACAGCTATGTATTTCAACTGCAGACATTTCCAAGACTTCTCATACATAATTCTGTTTTCTCAATGTTTTACTCAAGTATTTCTAACTTTTAGGTGACTGTTGGTACCATATTCCTTCGCCTCAAAAACAAAAGCTGAAACAAGTCTCAGTAGGACGAACATCTGTGTTTGTGTTGGATAAAAATGGTAAGGATTCTTAAAAATTATTTATCAATATTACAAAAACTAAATTAGTATATATCAGATTGATTAAAAAAGGAGAGGCTAATTCAGAGCTTCAGCAGACAGATTACTATTGCTCCAAGAGGACTAATATTTCATATTCAGAGAGATGGAGGATGGAGTAGGCATCCTGCTTCATTACTGGTTTTGAAGACTTGGGTTTTGTTATATCTGATAGTGCCCTGGGTAGCAACAATCCAGCATCTATGCTGTTACTTGGGGGGGTTGGGTGAAGAGAGATATGAATCTCAAAGAAGAGAATTGCATGGAAGGACTTGTCTGAAACTCTAGAACATGTGAAACTGAAGAATACCTTCCTGTTGCAAATCATTGCAAGTTAAATAATGAAGCATCTTTTTGAAAAAGAAACAAGCCTTTAACACCAGTCTCCTTCAGAGATCTTAACTTCATTTGGTTTACTTCTCTACTGCATAGTTCTTTATATGAATATTCTTCCCCAATAAATTTTACAAAATAAAGTACTTGCTGGTTTCCAGAAAAGTTATAAAGAACACCTCTAAAAATACAAATTCCAAAGTATTGTCCTTCATTGTCCTTCCCTGTAACACATTAGTCAAAACGGCAATGCTTTCTACAGAACACAGCAGGTATTAACTACTGATTTGTTCTGTTGTTCACTAGCACTTTATACAAAGCAGACATCCCAAGTTGTAACCAGGGCTATTTATTTTATAGGCAATCTTTGGTACCGGCAGGGTATCACACCAAGCTACCCTCAAGGGTCTACATGGGATCATGTTTCAAATAATATCCGTAAAATGTCTGTAGGGCCCCTGGACCAGGTGTGTATTAAGCTTCCTTGTACCTTATTAGTTTATTAAAAATTATGCTTAACATACTTTTGTACTAAAGTTAAATGTTCTTCAGAATTATTTTTGTTTAACTTTATTCCACAAGGTGATTGTCTCAATGCTGGAATCCTGATAGCAAGACAGAAATTATGCCAATGAAACAGTGATACAGCCAGCCATTTGCTGTAAAAAGCCTCATTATATTTTTTCTTTTTTTAACAAGGCTATTTTATATATTTAATTTCTTTCCTGCCAAGTCTTACTGTCTGGCAATGTTTTAACTGTAATGCTAGTATCTAGCTGTTTGTTTGGGGGTGTCTCTGACTAGATTAGAGCAGTTTTGGCCTGTTCAAAAATCAAGACAAATTTCTGAAAGTGATCAAACCTAGAATTTTCATGTCTGGAAAGAGCAGCATGAAGAGCACATTTTATTGCCTCTCTTTGCTTTCTTGAGGTCTGGGTGATAGCTGATAAAGTGCAAGGAAGTCATAGTCTGAGCTGTGGGACTGTCTGCCATCGGACTGGTGTTCAGCCAATGATGCCTAAAGGCCTCTCATGGGATTATGGTATTGGGGTAAGTGCTGGGGGGAAAAATACTGCCTAAAAGTTTTGTATACAAATACCCATGGGAAAGGAAAGTTCCATCCTGCTCCAGCTGGCCAGCTTTCTAAAGCTCACATATACCTGCAAGAAATTAACCTTTGTTCTTAAGTTTTAGGTTCCTTTTTTAAGTTAATATAATGGGTTATGCAATTATAGCTGGGAAATCATTTATTTGAATTTAACACGTATTCATTTTAAATAGAAAGTTATAATGGAAAAGTCAGTAAAGTAAGTACTGTTTTTAAATGATTCCTTCCAGGTCTGTGTCTGCTTATCCTTTGTTGTTGTTCCCTGTATTACCCTCAGTGTTTTGAGAAAGGCTATCTCAAGGTTTTCGCCCATTTAAGTTGGTGGAAAAACCTGCAGTGGCTCTGTTATGAACACCTGACTCTACTAATCTCAGTTCCCTCTAACAAAAATAATCCTGGAGTTTACTACCTATATACCTCCCTGTCAGGGAGGTAATGTTGTGTCACATTTTGTTTTGTATTACAAGGAGCCTTTTCTCTGATTCAGCCCAGAGCAGGATTACTTTCCACATGAAAAAATAATATAAAACTAGTAGTGTACATAAAGCATCACACCAGATACTGTAATTGCAGGGTGATGGCTATCCTTTTATATTTTGTTATCAATCTTTTACAGGGTGGATGGGAGCACATTACAGTCAGAGGAAATGCAACTGAAGCATCTAGGGTGTCTGTGCATGACACTTCTGAGGAAAACCCTGCAGTATCAAAGGATGTAGAAGATGAGGAGAGTAAAGGGAAAACAGAACAGTAAACCCTCTCTGATGGTCAGTGAAAGTCAAGAATTGGACAGAAATGCTGTTAATTGTCACCATCTACATGTTGCAAACAAGCAGTAGTCAATATAATTTAAAAAGAAACTAAATGTCTATTGCCTGGAGAGAAAAACATGTCCTTTTTGTTCTACTAAGCTACCTTTCTGAACTGGAATTTGCAATGGGTTGTTTTAAATACTGATTTCTTTTACTACATCACGTGTAAAATGTGGCTTGATAGAGCTAATAGTTTTGTCAAAGCAGGCAAGCTTTTTAGCCACAGTGTATTTCTGACCCTTTACCATAGCTGCTATACAACCATACAAATGTGAATATCTTTGCAGATGGTCATTACATTTACTTATTTATGAATATTACAGTTCCCTTCCCTACATTTCTCTCATATTTAGATTCATATTTGAGCAGAGATGCTGTCATACTAATTTAAATGAATTAAAGGCAAACATAACTGGTCCTAATTGTACAAGTATTTTTACATGCACATAACTGCTTATGTGAGTCCTGGTAAGCATGTAGCTTGGGTTATGCTGGTTTTGTTCCCATCAGTGAAATTAAATTCTATACAACTCAGCTTAAGGTGCAGTAAGGGCCAATTTTTGCTATCTTTGCTCACAATGAGTAGTACTTTAATCAACAAGTGGAACCACTGGTTTCAGTGAGACTATGTGGAGAGCACGGTTCTATTCAGTCTGACTAAGAGTGACAAAGTTGCATTCTAAATTGTTAGTCCAAATGGTGGTAGCTCATGGTTGTCTCCATCCAACTGCAGTATAGAGATGCCTACCTAGTGAGGTTGGAAGGCACCAGACACTGGAGGAGTTTGGCTGTGTTCCTGATCACTGTAAATCATGCTTTCATAGCGTAAAAGACAAGAGGAGGTCTCTAAGATTCTGACTTCACAGTGGTAGGAACTCAGAACAACTTTACTGGTTATCAGTGGAGTTTGCCAACGTACACTCATGTGGGTTCGGAATGAAGCTCTGCTCTTTTTTTTTAGTAAGTGATGAATTCATCCCTTCTTCCAACAAAAAACCCACTTCTTATTCTCAAAAGTAGTTTTTTTTCCTGTCTTACAATAATTAGACCATGACATGAAATTATTATTTGAAATCCAGTCCTTGGGAAGTGCGGAAAAAGCCTCTCCTGATAGCTTCAGGAAGGCACAACGTTTTTCCCCTGGCAGCAGTTTACATTAATTTTTCCTCTGTGTGTGTGAGACTGTATATGGAGTTATTTTTATATGATGAGCAGTGTGGTGTGTCTCAGTACTGTATTTGTAGAAGTAAAACTTACATGTGCACGTATTTAAAGAATATATTTGGTATTTTAATGCCAAGAAAAGCACTGTTTCCCAGTCCAAATGTGAATGAAGATTGAAGATGCTCTACAGTTTTAAAAACACCTGTTGATTTCTGATTTATACATACATTGTGGGAGTACCCTAAATAACATTTGCATTAATTACTGTAATATGTTTTGCATAACTTGCACAGTATCCTGTCCAAATAAATTATTATATGTATTTTTAGAGAATTATTAGGATTGTATTTTCTCTGCATTGTATCAAAGATTTTTTCTTTTAATAGTGTTTATATATCCAACAATCAAAACTGATTTCATACAATAAGCTTTATAATGTACCTTTGCATTTTTCCCTACATTGCCAAGTTTCACTTACTTTACTGTAAAAAGCTGAGTTTAAGCGAACAAAAGATAAATTATGTTTGAGTACTATATGTTTGCCTTCTGAAAGTATTATTTAGAAAATTAATTTAAAAATACAATGTCGTTGTTGTGGCTAGTTAAATTAAGGAAAAGTGACTTTAAATTGAAGCAGTTTTGAAAAATAAATGTAATTTATCAGAAAAAAATGCTTATGAAATCCCTTTTGACATGTCCAAGAAAGCAGCACTTCATAGCAAATAACCATTGTGGAACTAGTAGTTGTCATTCCATTAAAATGCGTATGTCCTGTGCCTGACTTACTCCTTGGGGGTTGACAGGTAGCCTTCACTTGTCTTTTCTGCTACTGTTTTTATAGCTAGATATTACTTGCCATTTTGGGCTTAGTAGTTGAAATGCCTTTGCAGGAAGTCCTATCAAAAATACATTGCCACAAGCATTTAACTCTCCATTTATAACAGTTAATATCTGTATAATGGATTCTTAAAGTGATGTGCAATTCTTTATCAATTACACTGTTAAAATACTGTTTTTTTCAACTCATTGCTTTGCTTCCTCTACCGAAGTAACCAAATAGCCCTTCAAACATGGCTAAAAAGATTTAGTAGCTGGACACTCAGATCTCCCTTATAACGCACTGGTCTAGCAGACTAGTGACCTTTAAAGAATCCTACAAAAAATGTTTATCTAAAAGTGCTTCGTCATCATTTACCGTATGAGACAAAGACTTTAGGCTGAAGCCATCGAGGCCACCCCCCGTACCGCAGATAGGGGCAGGCTGCTCCAAGCCGCGTCCCGCCGGTCCCTGAGCACCTCCAGGGAGGGCAGTTCCGCTGGTATCCGAGGCCGCCACGGGGCAGCGCCTCCGTCTGACAAAGTCTTTCATTGTCTTGTGACCATGGTAGGACCTACAAAAACAGATTTGAAGAGGTGTTCACAAGGATGTCAGAGTATCTCCAGTGTCAGCGCCCCCCTGAGAGCACTGTCTATGTATCTGCCCACTAGACGTGCCTGCTGACTTTAAAATGCTTGAAACTGCAGTTTGCTAAGCACACCTTGCTGCCCTACCCCCCCACCAAATTTCAGTGTTGGTATCCCCATACAAATGGAGAAATCAAAGCATGCTTGTCCCTGGTAAAGCACAGATAATAGACAAAATAGCAAACAAGAAGAAATGAGGACTTAAGGCATTTGCCGGTTAGGATTCTAGGCAAAAGATATCTCCTTACGCTGGAAAGTCTGCGGCGTACTGCCAGCCTTCCCGATCGGTTCCGCCTGAAGTATTAAAATCAATATACCAATCGGATACCTATTGTCAAAAGGAGACAGTAAGAATAACAAGTACAACCAACACCTAATGGCTAATAAAAATAACCTCTTCTGCTATTTCCCCTTCACCTTTTGGAGTGTAGTGTTGGTAGAAACCTTCTAATACTATTAAGTATATAATACTTCTAATACTTATTAATATAAATTCATACAGAGGTTCCCAAGTCTTTTTAATTTGGTTGAAGAGAAATGATTTGAAACAGAAGTCTAAGTCCCACTAAACAAAAATTCCCACTCAATGGTCCTTTTGACTATGGAAGCCTATTGCAATTGTATAAATGGGGAAACCAAGGTTAAATACTACAATAAATCCAGGAAGAAAATCTGGGTCATTTGAGCCCAAGTCTTGTATCCCACTTGCTAAGCCTTGCCTTCTTAGTAAAAAGACTTTTAAGACAAAATTTACCCAAGACCACTGTGGAGAAGGAGGTTTGGTGTTGATTTTTGTACATTCCTGCAGGCCAGAAGCATCACTCCACATGTATCTGTCTGTGGGCAGACCTCTGTGGTGAAGCAAGGTACAAGGAATGCAAGGTCATTTACAACTGCAAATTTAAAAGGTAAGGGAAGAAAACCCAATTCATAGCACTTCCTACTTTCATACACGAATCAGTCTACCA